TAACATTCTGTGTGTGTGTGATTCTGTGTATTATGCTATTAGTTTTAGCTTCACATCATGCAAGAAGTAGTAGATCTAGGCAAAACAAGAAAATGTTTAATTTAAATTTTTTCATAGGGATTTTGTGTGAATCCATTCAAGGAGGTGATACCTCTTTCTCCTTCCCCATCCCCTGTTCCCTTTCATTATACGCAGATGGTTTCTCCTCTGTAACTTGAAGTCTCTTTGGTTTCTTTTTTTTGGTGGTTTGTCTTCTGTATCTCTTTTGTTCGTTTGTCAGATGGAAACTGTATGCAGTCAGTTTGTGGGTTTCTTAGTTACTGCTCTGTATGAACAATCTAGATCCTCTGGATAACTGACTTTGTGTCCTAGCAAGTCTATGGACAGTGAGGGACCCCTACATTGGCTGTAGCCAGGCATCTTTTCTCAAAGGAAGATGAAAAGAGAACAAGCAAAAGAGTCACGTACCAATTCAAAAATGAATTTGTGGTTTCATGCAAAATGTAGTGTTACTGAACTTGGAATGTATGGTCTTGCAATACATTCGTTAAATCATAGCTCAAAAATCCAGTGTTACGAGTCTTGTCTAGTTGGTTTCTCGATTTCCATCCTTTGGTTCATTAAGTGTTAGAGTTGAGAACCAAGCAGTGGCATCAGCTACTGGGATGGTGGTATGATTCAGAATGTACCTAGCTAATCTAACAGACTATCTGAGAGAGCAGAAATGGTCCAGTGGGAGAGGCAGTTAGTATTCCAAAATACCAGACATAAAAGCATTTTGTATGTTTTGACCCTGAAATTACAAATCAAGATGTTCAGATGTTTCAAAAATGTAGTGCTAGTGGTAAGTAGGTAGGTACCTTGTGGTAGTAAACAATTAACATAAGATACTATATTTACTGTAGTATTTAGGTAAGAATGCTGTTGTTTTGTTTACAATCATATAAAAGCTATAGTCACGTTTGGTTGTTGGTTTTTTTTTTCAGTTTGACTCTAGCAGAGTATCATGAACAGGAAGAAATTTTCAAGCTTCGATTAGGACATCTCAAAAAGGTATGTATATAGGTTGTTATTTTAAGATTATTTTTTTTTACCATGCCCAAAACCATAAAAACTAGTGCTAGTGAAATAAGGAGAGGGCTTTTTGAGAGCTGTCTGATTAGAAGACATAGTACTAAAAGTGCTGTACAATTTTATGCTTAATAGTGGCTTTCCTTTTTTTTTTTTTTTTGTGCAATTTACCATAAACACTGGGAGTACAGGGGAGTAGTAACGAGTCCATCCAGTGTAACATTGTACTGATTCCTTGAATCCTTCTAACAGTGGTAACAGTGCTGATGCCACCAATACTGCTTCTTTCAGAGCTGAGTTAGCCAAGGTCCAAAAAGGTCCAATTTACAAAGCATTGCATTTCTGAAGGAATATTGTGTTTTGGTCATCTACAGTATCTGCTTCAGTTGTTATCAGTTAGCATACTGCCTACTGCAAGAGAGAATATTATCTTCCTACTTTTATGGAAAAACTTTTGTCTGTATCTTAAATTATTTTTGCAGTCAGATATTTTACCCCAGTTTTGACTTCTGAAAAGAAAATAGTACTTCTTTCTTGAAGCCCATCATTCTAATAAATCCGTGTAATTAGATAATTATGATATTAACAAACTATTGCTTACTAAAGCAAAGCTTTTGAGGAATAACCTGTGAAAAGGAATGACAGTTGAAGCAGGCAGAAGTATCTCAACAAGTGTGAAAACTTCTATCTGCTGAGCAGTAGTTCTTGAGATGTTCAGTCAAAACAGATCATAGTGTTTTTCCCCTTGAAATGTTGCAAGAGTCTGTTTAAGGCTTGTTCTCTTCAAATGTACGAGTCACCTGTTATAAATCCTACTATAATAAACTGAACTGTGCCCCTCGAGAACACTGATACTATTTTTAAAGATGACAAGGAAGTACTTGGATCTGGTAGAGAATCTGCATATAAACTTGTTGGCACTAGTGAAGTAGACTGCCCACATAACTCTTCATTGTTAATGCTTTGGAAATAACACTAGCTTCACGTGAAATTGTTATGAAATTCTGTAGAATTTTTCCCATGTTTCAGCTTTTTTTAAGTCTAATGGAAGTTTCAAGTGACATACGAAGGAAGCTGTTATAAAGTTGTTTAATACCCAAATTTTGGTTTCACCTTGATCATCAAGGCTGGGATACTCTGAATAAGAAGGAACTTCTTTGACTAAATGCCAAAGAGGAAACAAATGTTATTTCCTAGCAATTCATGTTTGCATATTTTTGAAAATAATAATAATAAAAATACACATACTTGCATTTTCATTCTTATGTGCGTTACAGATTTTGTTGTTAACTGAAAAACAATTTTGTTATCTTCCTTTTACATGGCTGTATTTCTTCCCTCATGCTTCTTTGCCTTTTTTCCTTCTTTCCTTTTGCATGTGCTGTTTTACTGTCTGCTCCTCTTCCTTTTCGCTCTCCAGATGCTTTCCTGGTGCTCTCATTTTTGGTGCCCTGTACATGCTGCCACCACCAGTTTTCTTTTCCTTCTGCTCCCCAGGAAATTCTTTTCCAGCTAGCAGCTTTGGTCCTGGAGAGAGTCTCTTGTTTTCTCACTTCCTTTTATATAGCGGTGACCTGAGGCAGCTAAGCTGGTTCATTCTTGCTTAAAGGTATTCACAGCCTGAGTGTCCTAAATAACAGCTGGAAACAATGCAACCAGCCAGTTCTCTTTGGACTAACATTGGCCTATGAACCACATTTTGAGAACCACTGAATTGCATAATATATGAACAAAAAAGCCCGAAAGAAGCACAACTGATGGATTTTTTTTGTCAGCCTTTGGGAAGAACATAGACAATTGTGTGTGTGTGTAAGTGTGTGGCCTTTTGCGGGTGGAGAAGGGCTGGAATTCTTTATAAAGGACTATTGGGTTATGAGGAACTGCATATCGTTTCAGGGTATTTAACAGAGAACTACAAGTATTAATCTAAATATATTTTTTAAAACGGAGTTTAACATTGTATAAACAGTTGGGGGGGAAAAAAAACCAAACCCTTGACAATGTATATTGAGAAAAACAAATGGTCCACCTGGATCTGCTAGCAGATTAGTGTTAGTCTAGCTTTTCAATTATTAGGAATTTGATTTTTGGTTTATGAATGGAGGTTCATCTAGTGTCTTGTTTTGGGATGAAGGTTTTTTTCCTTAGCTTATGAGGAGGGATTTAGGAAATCCATTGAAGTCATCTAGTCCGGACTCCTCAACTCATTGGAAATGTGGTCATTTAATGTGTGTTTTAGATTATATAAATACAGATGTTGTTTCAAGATGTGGTTTTATTATACACAATGTTTGGAAATACCAGCTTTACAGCATTTTCTCTCCCCTCTGCTGACTTCTGCCTCCATCCCCTTGTGCCATGATTTGTTGCCCTGTTGCTTTTACCAGCACCACCAGGTTGTGCAGTCACAGTATAAATTGAATTGTAGAACTGATCTAGTTTCTTTCAAAAACCAAACACATATCTTATTGTGAGGCTTGGGGGGTTTTGGGGGGTTTTTTAAAGAAAAGATTGGTTAGTTTTCCAATTTGGTTCACCATGTGGCTGTACAAGAGACTGTGCCAAAATAACAAGAGATGATGGGGGACACTGCTTCCAATGGCACTGCTACCAAAAATGTGCGTATCAGATGCCAGGCCGCCTTTTTCAGATAGAATAATTGCATAATTATGAGCTTTCTGGTATGGACTAATTTTGTCTCCCTTTTATTTAAACTTCTAGAGATACTAACTCTGAAATTTATATAGCCCTTTCTACAGTGTCTTTCAATGAGTTTATGTTTTTCACTTAGAGTATAAATACACAGGTTTCCACAAATTAGGCATCGTCGATTCTTTACTTTTTTAGAGAATCAGTATAAACAACTACGAGATAGTTCTTAGTGCTGAACTTAGGGAATGTGCTCATACCTGACATGCTTCTTTTGAAACTGCACTCAAAATCTTAGGCAGTACACATTCTGCATTTGTAATTCTAATAAGATATACATGGAAAAACCTTTTTTTAATTATCTCGGTTTTGGTGTCTTATATCAACACCTTAAGAACGCGCCTACTATAATGACTTACTCTTTTATTCTTTTTTTGGCTTGCATTTCAGGCTCAAAATATTTTAAACATCTTTCCTTAATTGGTTGGTTTGTACAAAATCTGTAACTGCAGATATCTCAGTTTTTTTTCTTCTTTGTACATCAATTTCAGACTGCTTCCCAGATAATTTCTCTCCTTGGCTGAGGGACAAAATCCAGCTGCCTCTCATGTCAAACAGCATCCCTACAGTGCAGAACAAAACTGTGAACATCCCATTACCTGTGGGTTCATGGACAGAAAGGTTCCTTGAAACAGGCTTTTGCCTTATCTTTCTGAATTTTTCTGGCTTTAAGAGAAAAGCAGTGCTTCAGCAGGGTTTTGTAATGTAATGTTCCTCCATCACCACTAGAATTGATGCAGGGGTAAAAATATCCTTTTCAAACAGGGAGTAAATGAGCTTTTATATTTCATTCTTTTCATTTGCAGGAGGAAGCTGAAATACAAGCAGAACTTGAACGTTTGGAAAGAGTTAGGAATCTTCACATAAGAGAACTGAAAAGAATAAATAACGAAGATAATTCACAGTAAGAGACATACTGTCTTAATTTTGCATGTCTATTTTTTAAATCTCTGAAATCACATTTTACCTACTAGGGGAGAGGCTCCTTCATAAATGTTTCTTTGGTTCCCTTGTTTATGCATATATTTTTAAACACCAACTTATTAAAACTTTTTTAAAAATAGAATTATTCATAATTCGGTAAACTTATGAATAGTTTTATTAAATATGCAAGCAATAACGTATATACACAGTTTATAGTGAAGGAGAGCTAAAACTTGCTAGACGATATTACTAGACTGAAAAAAAAACCAACTTGTAAGGAACCTAATGAAATTCACTTAACTGACAATATTGCAAGAAAATGGCGGGGAGGTTTGATGTAACAGAAGCGATTTTGTGATTCAGTTAAAATCAGTTTTGTTATTATTGCACTGTGATTTCATTCCTACTAGGTACAGATACATAGTAGGAAAAAGACAACTGTGAAGTCTTCTGTATTATGTTGAATATTACTCTCTGCTTCATCTTGCATCATGTTAAATTCTATTTGTTGTTAGCTATTACTATGTATATTTGAAAGTAATAATTACATAACTAAAAACAAAATCTGTTTTCTATAATAGAAAATACAAACAAGAACACTACAGTTTCACCAGCACTTCAAGCTGCCACTGTTGCTTGAAAGGAACTGATTTCTGCCAGTCCCAACTGCTTCATTATGCCCTTGCCCTGTTTTGTTTCACATGCTTGCAGTGGCATTTCTTTACTGAACAGACACTGGAAGGTTAAAACCAGCTCCTCTGCTTTCGTTTTCTGGATCAATTTTAACCCCAGATCAATTTCCTGGTCTAGTTCTTTGCCCCAGTTGCAAAAATGCTTATGCTGCCATGAGGAGAGAGGGCAGTGCAATGGTGGAATTAGCAGCCAGGGGGAAGGAGTTGATGGGGCAGGGCTTGTTTCTTTCTGTACTAGTAAATGTTTATGAAACAGTAGCCTTAAGAATTCAGGATTTTATTTTATTTTCCACTTTTTAGTCACAATAGAACTATATATGCACTAAGACTTCTAAACCTTAAAGCAACAGGATATGAAATTGTACTTAGGTGTTTTAATGGTTCCCATACTTACCCTGCAGGAATACAGAAAATTTTTGTTCCCATGTGACTATAGTGCTAATTGATAACTAAATTGGTGCTGCATTTTGGATATGAAAAATAATGGGTGTTGACGCTTAAAATTTGATGGCAGAATATTTTATTTTAAAAATAAATGTCCTGCAACAAATAAACAAGCAGTTCTTTGTAGGTTAAATGATAACCTTTTTGTAATCTTCAGTGTTTGCATTAGAAGATTATTTTTTTTTAAAAAAAAAGGTGATCCTTCAATAAGAAGGAATAAATGCCACAGAAAAATGACAGGCTTTGACTGTGTAAATATTGTGTATGTGGGGCAGAGAATATCCAAATTACAGTCTCAGTTGAAAAGAGTTACAGGGCATGGACAAGCAGAATACTGCAGTTTCACTGCTCATTTTCTGCAGTGAATGTTGACACATTTTGTGGTACAGAATTAAAAGCTCTAAATTGTCCATTCGTGTTTTTGTGGGAGTTTAAACCTGAGTATTTACCAAGTGGCCAAGCTGCAGCTTACACTCATAATGTAGAAGACAGAAGCAGTGGAGAAGTCATTTAGGTCTGTAGCCCCTGCTGTCTTTCCTAACACATCTTGGCAACTTGGCCTTTTGATAAGAGAGAGGGTTCTGAAGCAAAGCAGCCATTGGGTCCCGACTCAAGTCCTGTTGGGTTTTCAGCTTCCAGCTGTGGTCGAAAGCTAAGCCCTCTTTCTTGTTCTAGCGATGTTCCCCTCTATGTCCGTCTACCCATGTATACCCTTCTGAAGCATCCCAAATATAATGTAGACTGCAAACTCAGCTGTTTGGGGTTCCAGCCTTGACAATGAAAAGCAGGAAATACTGCCTGGTTTAGAGATGGGTAAACTAGTGTGTCCGCATGTGTTCTTTACTACTGCACTGGGATAACAGGCCAAGTTGAGAGTGAGGGTTAGGGCTTCCCTGCCTGGTTTTAGAGCCCACGTGATGCTGGGGCTACCTTCAAGGTGCAGGTTCTGAGCCATGGAGAGCAGCAGTGGAGAGGGAAGATGGTAAGGTTCACACAATATGACCATAATTCCAAAACATGGAAGGGTGGGATGACCTATTTGTAGACTATCCCTAAACCCTTCCTTAAAGTCTTCTGTGGAGTATAATTTGCAGCTGCCCCTAGATTCATGACTATAGTTGTCTCATGATTGCACAAAAAGTGTGATGAGTATTCCCTTCCCCCAGGTTGGATGGAAGGATATATTTTGTCTCCTGTGCATTTCAGGAGAGTCTGATCCTTTCTCTGTCCTGCAGCAGCATAATTTTGTGTTTGGAAGGAGTATTTTCTGTTTGCTTTTCATAGAGTACGAGCAGATATTAATTTATTTTGTGTGTTTTCCAAATATTTCTGTTCATTATTTGTTAACTTCTTGGTGTTATATGAAATCCATTTTGTTAAAAAGAGGCAGGTATGTACAACAAACAGGTCTGGTCATGTTTCATGTGAAATTGGAAGTATATCCTCCTCGTCTGTTCCAGAAGCTGAAGTTTGAGAGTTCTCCAAAATTTGGCACAACAAGGAGAAAGCCCTTGTATCGCATGTTTAAATTTAAGGGTGCTTTTCTTATCCTCACAAAAGTGGAGAAAAATAACAGAAAGTTTCCCAGAATTGACTAGTTTGACAATGGTGTTATGATAGCATTTGTACACTAAGTAGTCAAAAGGTACTGAGATTGGCCATGTTGTATAGTTGTATAGAAAGCTCCATTTTGAGAAGTAATGCTAGGAGGTTTACATTTTAGTCTCTGTTTGTATAACTTGAATAGAATTGTTTTGGTTTTTTTTTTTCTTTCAAGATTTAAAGATCACCCCACGTTGAATGAACGGTATTTGTTACTCCATTTACTTGGCCGAGGTGGCTTCAGTGAAGTATACAAGGTAGAGTGTGTTGGGTCTGCTAAATCTAATGCTTTAGCCACGTGCATTTGTATATTCAATTTTCAAGGGGCAGAGGGGGGAATCTAAATAAACGGAAGGACTGTGATGTCGTATACTCTTTAAACACTGGTTGAGCAAACTTTGATTAACTTGTGGAGGGGAGATAGCATTAAAATACACTTGTCAATAGACTTGTGAATTATATGCCAATTTTTTTTCTTTCTTTATTGGTTGTTATTTTTATAATCTTTGGTTATAACTTACGCATATTTGTGGGTTTCTTTTTTAGGCTTTTGATCTTTATGAACAAAGATACGCTGCTGTGAAGATTCACCAGCTTAACAAAAGCTGGAGGGATGAAAAGAAAGAAAACTACCACAAGTAAATATTAATGACTTACACTCCGTATGTTAAATTGAGTAGCATTTTATTGATTGTAGAAATTTAATGTATCCATCTTCTTTTAGACATGCCTGCAGAGAGTATAGAATACACAAAGAACTGGATCACCCGCGGATAGTTAAACTATATGACTACTTCTCCCTGGATACAGATACGTAAGTACATAAAATGATACATTTTCTAGAACGTGGCAAGGATTTTAGTGCTGTATATTAGATGAACAGAAATGAAGAGTATTTGAACAAAAATAATATGTTTGTGCTTTCAGCCAAAGCATTTAGGGTTTCCTTACGGAGACTTTAAAAAAAAAAAAATCCCCACTAGTTGAAGAATTTTGTCTTGGCTAAATATTGCACACCATCTCTAAAGTGGTGAAGAGGAGATTTTGCAACACCTGACTACTAAGCCCCTACAGGTTGTCCTGAGGGTGAAAGGGACTTGTAGTGATGTAATGTTTTGGGACAGAGAAGGGGCTGCTGCAGGGCAGCTCTGAAAGGCTGCTGTAGCTTAGACAGGTTTCCAAGACTAAATGACATCAGGAGCATTATTAGCCTAAGTGTAGTCCATGGTCGCTGGGCTGCACCTCTTTGGATGAAATTGTGTCACATCTTAAGGGCTAGTTAATATATTTTTTTTAATTGTGAAACATGCCTACGTAAATAAGGGTGTTTTTTAACTTGAGAAACCTCCCATCAGTGTGTATGCATTTTCTCTTTTGGTGAGTATGAATGTTCTGATTGATGTCAAGTTTCATAGGCTAGTAGTTATGCCATGTGTTCTGTTTCATTCATACAGTTTAATATTCAGTCAGCCATTCTTAAACTCGCCAGTATCAACAAGGTTGTCATATCTCCATTTCTGATTTTGCAGTTTGATAAGTTATTTAATTTTGTCTCTCTGAATTCTACCCTAGGTTTTGCACAGTGTTAGAATACTGTGAAGGCAATGACTTGGATTTCTATCTCAAGCAGCATAAATTGATGTCAGAGAAAGAAGCTAGGTCCATTGTAATGCAAATTGTAAATGCACTACGGTATCTCAATGAGATCAAGCCCCCTATTATACACTATGATCTTAAGCCAGGTAAGTGAGGAGTGACACAACTGAAAATGTAATCTTTTTTTTTAATCTTTCATTTTGTTTGTAATTCATGTCTGAAAATACCAAAATAATCTTCTGTATGTCAGGCTTATTTTAAACAGCTGAAAAAAGTGTGTACTTTTCTTTCTAGTTTATTGCTAAAATAATCTGTCTTTTCTTTGGAAAAAAAGATTATCATACTTTTTCTACTTTGTATTATTTTTAGTTGAATTTGTAGGAAAAAAGTCATATTGAACATAGATACATACTTATTTAGCAGTATAAACAGATAAGAGCATTAGTTGGGTCAGTCCTGTCTGATCATTGTGGAATGCTGATGTGTAAATAATTTTTCTCTCATGTATTTCTTAGCCTGTAAAAGCTTGAAATAGGTAATCGATCACTTTCAGCATCCCAGCATAACCACTTCAAAACAAGACTTTACAGAAATTTTCTTTACAATGAATAATGAGCATTGTCATAAACAATGTATTCTGTCTTGAATCCATGGCCTTTGTTTTACCACCTTGCATGAATAGTGCTTGTGTTCTTCATGTACTTTAATCTGCTACACTTCCAAGCATGGGGTTTGTAACATAACTCTTGTACCAGACTGTTTGCTTGCTGCTGTATAAGAAATTGTTCATATAGATTTCTCTATTATGGAATTGTACAGAATGTATTCTTAGTCTCATTAGTTTTTGTCGTCAGAAGAACTTCATCAAATACCTTTTATATCAAGAAATTATTGTACAACTTCAGCACACAGAGTAAGATTTGTAGTACTGCAGCAATTTCTTGGCATGATTTTGTGGCATAAGCAAGCCTCAAAACCTGTAGTGTAGGATTTGTTCTGGGCAGAAAATTACAAAACTTCATTGTAACTGGTGTATCGCTGCGTTTTGGTGTTCCCTCACTACACCTTGGTGTTTTCTCACTGTCCAGCCAGCTCCCAGCTGAGGGAACCATTTCAGATGATGATGATAACCTAGAGAGTTCCTAAAGTGTGTCATACTCAAATTACTCTAGACTTGAGGATATAAAGATGATGTAAAGTTGTCACTTACCCCTTGTGAAGTTAGATGTTCCTGAAAATTGAACCTGGTTTTGAAAATAAAGCATTCTGTTAGCTGTTCTGAGGTAATTTTTTTTTTCCCCTGGATAGGTAATATCCTTCTTGTAGATGGAACAGCATGTGGAGAAATAAAAATTACTGATTTTGGCCTGTCCAAAATAATGGATGATGATAGCTACGGTGTGGACGGAATGGATTTAACTTCACAGGGAGCAGGAACTTACTGGTAATGCCTGGTTTGATTTTGCTGTTTAGACTCTGCATCATTGTTCAGATTTCATAAATACTCTATCAGCTCTCATAAAGCCAATTTGGAGAGCTAGGATTAAAAGTATTAACATGGATGAAACATAAAGATTTTTGTGCAGTACCATGAATGCTGATATTCGTAAATGTTAGAATGGCAACATAACAAGTACAATAAGAGAGTGTGACTATATGTGGGTTTATTTTTTATACGTACATACATATGCATATATATACATATACACATATATATGTTAAATATATATATTTAAAAAATTGGAGATGATCACTATGATTTAGAAACATGGTTTGCCTGAAGAAGCAGGTGTTTAATCTTTGGCTGCAGGTGGTTGAAGATGTTTGACAGAGCTATGATGATGAAGTGTGGGTGCTTAGTCCTTGGCAATCTTAGAGCAGGGATTACCAGCAGGTAATGTCCTTAGGACAAAAGTGTATTTACTCTTCCATCCTAAAGGTTAATGACAGCTCAGCAGCTGTGATTTGTTTTCTGTGTGCACTTGCACACTTGTCCAAAAACCTGAAGTTTTAGAGCTGCCTACAGAACAGAATGACAATAAGCATTTCATTGCTTACAGAAAAGCTGTTTCTAGAATTTGCTCTCTGAAGATGCAGCTTCTTCATGGCACAGTAGCTCTTTGAGCCTGAGTGCATGGTACCTGTGTCAGGGTGGGTAGAATAGAAAGCCTGTATTGACCAGGTTATTACTTGTGAATTCATTTGCTCTTTCTTTCTTAATTCTGCCTATAGCAAAATCCAAGTCAGGAGCTGAAACCTAACTTAGACAGAGAAACCACTGTCATTCCCATTTATTCTGCAGCTTTTCCCGTATTTGGAAGTTGCACAGAATAAAGTTTTTGCCTTTTCCTTCGGAATTTTTAGAAAAGAAAACACACATTCACTTGCACAAATGCCCATGTGCCATGCTGTGAAAAGACAATTGTTCATGTTGAAGCATTTTAGAAGTGTTATGCTTTTGCTATTCTTTTTAATGGTTTACCTATTTAAGCACCAATTTAAATATGTTTTTATGCTAATGTATGTAAAAAAATTTTGGCCTTCGGATTTCATCTAAAATGCCACAGGCACTAGTGGTGCTGTAAACTAAGAGGTCAAAAAAAGGTGTGTGACTATTATAGGTTCATGATGAATCCTTGCGTTTCTAATTCATGCTTTCTCTGAGCCCAAAATCCTCATTAAAGAGGGAAATATTTTAAGTGAGTTTGAGGTGTGGGATGAGTCTGTTCAGAGCAGATCGCACAAACGATCAGCAGCATAGTGCTGGAAGGGATTTTCTTGGTCACTGGGTCCAGTTGCCAGCCTTTCCAGGCAGTTAGGTCACATAATCTCTTTTGTAAACTTTCAGACATTTATATTAAATGTAGTTAGTGTTTTGTCCCCAGTAATCTGATTTGAAGTGTGTTCCGTAACCTGAGTTCTCTGATCATTAGAAACCTGATCTTCTAATTTACAGACTGTGTTTATTTGTGGCCAGTTTATACTTGTTTGTTCCTGTGCCAACACTGTCCTCCTTGAAGTAGGTTATTTCCCTTCCTAGTATTTTCTCCTTGGTGTTTTTATAGCCTTCAGGTTTTTTCCCTGAATTGTAGGCTTTCCATTCTTCAGATCATCTTAGTAGCTTTCTTTGCACTTGCATCACCTTAAGCTCATTTTTCTTGAATGTTGTAATCAGAATTGCATATGAGTATTCCAGAAGATATTTTGTGATATTGTGTGAAATTCATATTTGTGTTGCATTCTTATCTCATTTTTCTACTTATTTCCATTTCCACAAATATTTCATCAAAATTTGTTTTAAAGCCTTATATGCTGCTGATGATAGAATGTCTAGTCTTTAGGCGCTCTAATAGTTTTTAGACCTTTTTCAATTTTATATGTTATAGTCAGTAATACTGAACTGCCCACATATTGATATGTTTGGGAGGGGGTTTTTTTTGTTTTTTAAAGGAGGTTCCATTTCACTGATTCTTTTGTAATTCAGGAATGGCACAAGAACTTCCTCAACTTTCAGCTCGTTTAAGTACGGCTTCCTGCAGATTATAGGAATGGAAATAGCAATCACTTTTGTCTACCGTATAACCCTCTGGTTAACATCATCATTCTTACTAAGAATTTAGGTAAAGCGTCTTTAAGCCATATCTACATTATCTTTGATTCCTAACCAGGCCTTGCTGTAAAATGCCCTATATGGCTTTCATCTTTTCTTGCTGTGATAGAAGAAGGTTCATATTTAACCTAGGATGCCAATTTAAAAAAAAAAAAGTGATAATTCATGATTTAGGTAAAGAAAGTTGGTATTTGTGCTTGTATGAAAGAGACCTTCCATTTGACTGACTGACTATACAAAAAGCTGTAATGTCAGTTTTGATGGGTGTGCAGGGTGTTGGAATGTGGGTCATAAGGCAACTGTAAAGTTGTCAAAAGGTCAGAGATGTGTACATGAAGTGTTTGTATAATCTGATATTTGAATAATTTCTAGTGATGCCATACCATCATCTTGCAGACACTGAGATGCATGTTTTGTTTTCTAGGTACTTGCCTCCAGAGTGTTTTGTAGTTGGCAAGGAGCCACCAAAGATTTCTAATAAGGTTGACGTATGGTCAGTTGGAGTAATCTTTTTCCAATGCCTTTATGGTAGAAAGGTAGGGAAAATGTTGTTTGAAACTCCTAAAGTTTTAGTGTAAATTCCTGTTTCCAGTAGTCTGTAAATTATAACCATAAAGTTGTGAATCTACATGGAAAATTACATGTGTTACTTTTTGGTGGCATGCACTGATATGGCAAGAAATGTAGAAAATCTTGACTGAAACTTTTTTATTTGCAGAATGGTTAGTAGTTCATGTTATCACTTCAACAACTTACTGTAGCATAAATATTTATGAAATCAAAGTAGTTGGATAACTCTCATGAAGAAAATAATGTGCTTATTTTTCAGCCATTTGGCCACAATCAATCACAGCAAGATATCTTACAAGAAAATACAATATTAAAAGCCACAGAAGTTCAGTTCCCTGTCAAACCTGTTGTAAGCAATGAAGCCAAGGTAACTTTTCATATGATCTCTGAGTAACAGCTAAAACACTCATCATAGAGGATTTAGCTGTAAAATTGCTGTTAAGAATGCTGTGGGACATAGTATCTAAATGTGTAGGAAAACATAATGGAGAACTAGTATTTTAATGTTTTTATTTAAGTGAATTTATTCTGGGACTTCTCAAAATCATGTACTTCAAAGCCAGGCTGTATATATATTCCAGAAATTTGCAAGCAGTTTTAAAGTAGGCCACCTCAAAAATTGTCTGCTTTGCTTTTTCCCAGAGGACCTTATGCGTCTCACTCAGACTGTCTCACTAGAAGTTCTTGAGAAATACTTCTGCTGACAGTAACAAGCTCTTTCTGAAAATAGTGAATGTTATTCTCTGCAGCCTTATTGGCTTGAAGAACTATTTGAGTACCAAATACCTGGAAGATATGCCTGCTAACACTCTTCCCCTTGAAGGTCATAATATGTGTGTATTAACTCAAAGCTGAGTTTAGAAACATAAATTTTTAAGAATCTGTAAGATACATTGATGCTTATTCAGGAAATAAGACTGACAAAATAGTTGATCTGCCACAAAGGTACAGGTGGCAATGTTTCCTGTATTTAAAAAACGTATTTTGAAACATCTGTAGTATCAAACTTATCTCCACAGACTAGCTATTCAGAAACAGATTAAGGTGGTTTCCCAAATGATTGCTGCTGTGAGCATCCATAACACAAACCCAGTTCTGGGAATGTGGAAGAGACCATTATATATGTGTTACTTGTTTGTAAAACTGTCGCAGTTTTTGAAAGATACATTCATGGCCAGACGTAGTAGAGATGTGCTTGTTGAAAAAAATGCCAAGAGAAAATAGTATGCCTGCTTAAGTTTCAGCAACTAATTAAACATAGTTAGATTTGGGACTCAAGCTGAAAAAAAAACGAGGAATGTTAAGATTTAGCTTCTAAAAACTAAAAGGAAAGGAAACCTATTTCTAGAGGCTGTAACTTCCCAAGAAAGTAAGTCTTTTGGGTACATAAATCTCGTGTTAAAATTTGTGGTATATTTCTCTTGGTTATATTTTCTAAAAGTAGTGTTAGTGAGCGAGTTGCAGTTAAGGTTATGAAATTTTGGTTGAAGAACTGTAGTTTGTCCTAGGGTTTTGTGTTTTTTGTTTTTTGTTTTTTTTGTTGGGTTTTTTGTTTGTTGCTTTTGTTTGTTCATCCCTATTTGGAAAAGTTGTGTCCTTTGAATGCAGTTGACAAATATGCATCATATAACTGATAACATTACATGTTGATAGTTTATATTCCAGTCTTTTAACTTTGCATTTCTTTGTCATTAGTAGTTTTTATATAGAGGATGCTGGGAAAGAATAGACAGTTCAACATGGAGAACTGGCAACTTATTTTACAGTCTCTGTGTATTCCATGTTCTGTTTGTTTGTTAAAAATACTAAAATAAACTTTCAGTGTTCTCCACTCTTATTAACATTGTCACGATAGCTGTAAGAGAGGGAGAAATTGTTCTCTGGTGGAAATGTTATAAAACAATTTCAGACTAACTTGTAAATTCAGACCGTTTATGATGACTGTGTAGAATACAAATTGTCTTTCAGATTTATAAGCCTGGCAGTTGGAAAAGAACAGCTTGTAAACTGAAATTCTGATTTGGAAAACATGGAGATGAAATAAATATGGAACCTGAAATAACATTGTTAGTTAGTTTTCAGACTGTAACTGTTCTTTGATCCTCCCTACTTTTTCCTATTTTGTGCAATGTTCTCTGTTGCATTGCAGTAATGTGTCTACAGTGCCACAGAAGCATGAAGTATTTTACAAACATTTTAGACACAAATTGTTACTCTGAGGATCTTGCAAATAGCTCTTAACAATTAATTTGTTTTGAAAGATTTATTGTGAAGAATTTGATTAAAATCCAAATGTCAAAGAACATGTGAATATATATTAACAGATGTGCATGATTTTTATTTTGTGCCTTGTTCATGCTGAATATCTAAATGATAGAAGTAAATTCTAGCAGGATTCTTTGGAACTTGTATCACTTATTTTTTTTCCTTTAATCTCCAGTTTTTAATTGGAGCAAAGAACAAACATCTGAACAGATTTATCAAAGAAAAGATATGTAATTCTTTTAAATTAAGTTCTAAATTAAGTAATGATGTGCTAATCAGTTCTTTAGCAGTAATAAGGATTTTCTATCATTAAATGTTGGAGACCAAGCTCTCAGGAGACTAAATGTTCTGTGTATGCTAGACATAAGACTTGACAGAAACTCAGCACAAAATGACTGGCATACATCGTATGGACCTAAATGTAGGACAACATAGTGTCTCAAGAACAGTCCTGAAGCTAGATAGGGAATTTTTTCAATTGATCAGATATTTTTAGCTAGGTGGGATTGAGTTTTTTCTGGGAAAGGAGTTCCAGCTAGATAATGGTTTCTTGAATAGTCTATTAGTTATTTAATGCCTATTGAACATGGCAACCACCATTGTCAAATCTCATATTTTGTTCTGTTCTGTCATGGCACGTGTGGTAATGCCTGCTTTCGAAGGTCAACTAAAGCATTGAAATTCTGTCCCTGTATCTTCCATCTACTCTTCATCTGCTGCACGGCTGAGTGGTTGGAACTAGATAATCTTTAAAGTCCCTTCCAACCCAAACCATTCTATGATTCTGAGCCCCATGGAGCTCCTTTCTACTTCTTCAATCCTCTGACGTTTGCTTCTGGTTTTTACTGAGCTGTTTAGGGATAACACATACAGAATTCTAAATGTGTGAGATGCTAATGTTTTCCTTGTAAACATAGCTCCTAAACATAGAAGTACATATTTGAAGTGTGATATTTGAGGCCAATTAATTTTCTGATTTTTTTTTTTTTTTCTGTGATGTTACATTTTTTTCATTGGGCTCAATAGTAAAATGTTACACTTTTCATTTGAATTGAATTACATAAGAATAAGAATTTGTTTAGAAACTGGTTTATCCAGGAGGACCTACATCTTTGCTTGTAAACAAACATAGTTATTTGGGATGGTATTGTCACTGTTTACATTTCTTTTCTAGGCCTTTATCAGACGCTGTTTAGCATACCGAAAAGAGGATAGATTTGATGTCCACCAGCTGGCTAATGATCCTTATCTTCTCCCTCATATGAGGAGATCAAATTCTTCAGGAAACTTGCATATGACTGGGCTAGCAGCATCCCCTACACCACCTACTTCAAGCATTATTTCATACTGAAATTTCTCCAGCTGAGGAATGGCATGATACCTTTGTGTTGTTTCGAGATGCAGACTTGAGCTTGAAAGCATTTGAGTGTTTTTACACAGGACAAGTTTGATAACTGTGTTTTCAGACTGAAGTCCTCCTACATAGCGTCATTTGTATGATTGGAATGGATCATGGACTGTGAATAAATGTACCCTTCTGAGAAATACCATTAAACATTGAAGGATGACACTGCCTGTTAGACGCTAGCAGGTATACTGTGTTTGAGACTGAAGAAAAGGTTTTTAGTTTTTTCTGGGGAACATTGTAAATAATCTTTTTAATACTTAAAGTACATTTGGTTGATACTGGAAAGTTGGAACATGAAGGGTAGTTTTTCATTATTTTAAAGAAAAAGGGTAGTGAGCAAATTTGAAAACACAGAAAAAATACTGTGCCTGGTTATAAACTAAACAAACTGCCATCTTTCCAAGACATTGATCTTTTAAAACCAAAGTAAAGACTGTGAGACGGTCAAAGATATGTTCTGTATCAGATTCCTCAGATAAAATTGTAGTATTTTATTTGGCAACTCAGGCTTGTACCTCCAAAAATGTGGCGGTGTTTCACTGAATTTAGATTGAAAGGGTGATACGGAATTCCTGGTACTTATTTCTCAAATAGATTGCTAATTTTGAAATCTGCTCAATTTTCTAAAAATACTATACTTGCTGTGGTATTGAAACTTGTGAAACTTTCCAGGCTTCTGATAAAAGCAAGCAACAGTATGAAACCAAATGAAAACAGGTCATGTATAATGTTCTATGCAGGAATAATGATAAATTCCCTTCTAGCTCTATTGTAAATTGTTGTACAGATGTCACATTTTCCGTTAAATTTCAGCAATTTATTCCTGTACAAATGTTTAAAGTATGGCTTTTTCTAATTGGATATTGTATTTTTTTTAAGTCTCCCTCAAGGCGCTTTTAATTGCTGCTAAATGACGTTGCTTTTACTTTTGCAAAAGAATCAAATGACCTCCTTAAGGTGCAAGTCAACTGTATGTTATAGAGAGATTAAGAATAGGTAATTCATTAACAATCAAGGCATGCAAAACAGATCTGTGTTGGCAATATACAGTACAGTTCAAGTCAGTTTATTGCGTTCTCAACCTGCAGAGCGCATTGATACTAGATGTAGAAGTTGCTCACGGTTATTCTCTTATTTCTGGAAGTTCCTATCAACAAGGTAATGTTTCTTGTGGCTTGTACAGATATTTTAAAATGTGAAACATTTTTTAACTGCCTTGTATGGTAGAAACTTACTTTTCAGAACATTGTATCTCTCTCCCGTTCACTGTTCTTTATACTATCCCATTCTTGATGCTGAATACCTATATGTAATTTTGTCCATGTTGCAGAAAAAGGAGGCTGTATTACCACAGGTTTTCATTTAGTATTGTACAGTTAAACTGTTGCTCTCGTTTCTGATGTTGCAAGCCATTTTGTTTTCATTGTATATAAAGAAACATTAACTGTCTCTTTAAGATGCTGCTGAAATTGTAGAGAATGTAGCCAAAACAGTAATAAACAATGACAGTTGAAATTTCAAGGGTTTTGATGTGTGTTTTTGCATTTCAACTAAGGGCAAATCAGGTAACCGTATCACTTGGCTACACTTAGCTATTTAAAACAAGCTTTCTTTAATTACAAACAAAAGGTCAATAATAGAATAATTAAAGTAACATTGGAGGTGAAAGGGGAGGATTCCATGAAGCTTAAAACTTCTGTGGTAATGAAGTAACCAAAACATGATTTCACTGAATAGACCTCACAGAAACAACTTTTAAGTATTTCAACAGGTCCTTCCAGAATTCTTTAACCATGGAATAAAATTCTCTCATAGAATAAAATTAGACTCAAATAGTGACTCTTTCTGCCTTTATATTACACCAGGGTTCTGGGACTGCATCCTTTTCACCCTCTGCAGCATGAGACCAAGTGGAAGGTTCAAGGATAATGTGCCGTAACTGTAGGCTCATGGTGGATTTCATTCCTTCTTAATCTGCATGTGTCAATATCAGAAGTTAAATTGAAGAATGTTTTGCCTAAGGAAAAGATGTAGCATTGTGTTAACTGTTTTTATTTATCTGGAGTGTTATTGTGGTTAACCCTAGTAAAGAGAAGTTTGGCAATATATTAGCGAGCTACTTAACTGGAAATTTTACATCTACCTGAAAATGAGGGTTTATGCATTGCATTAATTACATACAGACATGTTTTTCCTCTTGTTAGCATCTGGAAATAGGCTGTTGTGGCTGAATATATGACAGTTACTCCAGCTTTTCAAATACACATTTCTGAAACCTGAACACTCGCTTTAAACAAAGTTCATATAGAAACACATGAAAGAAGAGAAGAGTCACCATCTCATTCTTTGAATCAAAGTTGTGAGATTTTTACCTTCAATACACGCAGTTGTGTTTGTGTTAGCATCTTACGGTACTGTTAGTGAAAAGTTTGTATCCCCACATGGAATCATTCTGCAGCCACAAGAAAACATCTGAGTTGGTGTGTTTGGTGCCTGATAGTCAGCAATTGGTGCTTGTGATGGAAGTACCTTGAGGCCAAGTCTAGAAGCCGGATTACTGCTGCTCGTGGAGGAATGCTGATCCACTCCTAGGTAATTTATGCATCAGTTGTTCAGTCTGTATTTCATGCACTTTTTACTAATTTCATCACACTTCATCCATCACTAGTTATCCTAAGCTCTCTTCTCATTTAGCAGCAGATAGACAAAAGGAATGAAGTTAAACTTCATCAGGCAGTTTTTAATGAACCTCGGAAATAAAAGGCTTCCTTTACGCTAAATTCATAAATACTTTAAGATTTCAGCATTTACTGGAAGGTAGTAAAATAATGTATTGCTGTATAACTTAAAGAAACCCTACACATGAAACAGAAGTGACTGTAAGAAAAGTTTTGCCCTTTTAACTGTGATTATGGTTCTACAAGTCACTGCAGCCAGACTAAACAATAGTAGGCTTGTTTCTGGAAAGCAACTGTGTTTTCGCACTATTTTGTTTGTATTTGTACTGAAGTTGTTCAGATTTCAGTGTGGAACATTGTTTACCCTTAACTTGATCTATGCTGGTTGATAGATACCGTTTTCATGGAGACTAGTTAATATTTTAATTTTCTAATAAGTGCTTTTAACAGTCAAGAAGACTGGAAGGGCATCACATTGCTGGCCAGCTGCCCAAGTGCTATTGACCGCACACACTGTGGCTATGAGCAAACCCCTGCATAATTAGGGAGGCTTTCAAAAGCCCACAAAGCCGCAAGCCCTCTCGGTATGCGTGTCACGGGTGCACAAGGTGCCGAGCCGCTGCCGAGGAGTGCTCCGTGCCACTGGGACCCTGCGTGGCCGGGGCTGCCGATGAGAGCCTAAGCAGGTGACTGGCTAAGGCATGTTTTAAATTAAGAAAGCCCTAGAAAGTAAAACATGCCCTGCTCCAGCCTTGACATCTTCCCCAACAGGAGGAAACCCCAGGTCTGAGGCAGGGCCACCAGCCCGGCTGGGCCTGTCTTCCCCAGCCCGCAGCTCTCCCAGCAGGTCGGACGTGGCATATCCAGTTTGGGGAGCGGATGCAGGTCCCCAGCAGTGCTGCTGCTCCAGTTTTGCTCTGGATTTCAGCTCTGCTGGGGCTGAAGCTGCTCCTGTCACAGCACAGAGGAGCTGCGGCAGCTGGGAGGCTGCCGCAGGTGGGCGGGGGGCAGCCAGCCCTGCCCCTCCTTACCTGCCGCCATGTTTTCTGCAGAGGGCTGGAATGATGAGGGATACCACTGGGGTGGAGGGGGCTCTGGGACGTTTATTTCTCTTCAAGAGCCCCCAGGACTTGCTGGTTTTCTCCAGAAGTGGGAGATTGCATGGGGAAAGGGGACTGGGGAGACCAGTCTGGCGGGGGGCCTGGGCAGGGTGTTGGGGCAGGGACGGCATCAAAATTTGGAGGCAGAGTGGCAAGAGAGTCTCCTGATTCCTGTGTCTAAAGCACTTCAGTCTCACAATTTCTGTTGCATTTTTTTAAAATAGTTTTTATACGTATCAACTCCTGTCAGAGGGAGGGCCCTAGTCTCACAGGTCAGGGGTGCCTGGCAGAACAGACTGACAGTGTTTCGCCATCGTGGTCTCACCACATGCCCGCCAGCCTGCCATGTCTGTCTGCCGCCATGTCACCAAGGCCAGGGCACCGTCATTTCCACAGCCACAGCGTGATCCTGCCATGGGCTTTGGGGTGTAAATACCTCTCCTGAGGCCTGGAGCATACCTGGCTCCAGGCAGCCATGAACTGTAGAGTTGGGGTCTGCATTGCCTTTGTAGGAAAGGAAAGACTGCAAACGTTTTCAGAGACATAATGAATAATCCCGCAATTTCGTGTTTCTGTGACTACAGATTGATCATAGCCTAATAAGATAAAGAGCTCCCCCCAAGTCACCAACCTGGGTACCTGGAGTTCCATGCCTGCCACATGAGGCTGATGTGTTTCCAGGTGCCCTTTCCACAAACAAAACAGGTTTTACTTGGTCCTCAATGCTTACTGGGCAAGAGTCCCTGAAAAACTTTCTAGTCTCTTCCAGTACCCAAGTTTGTCTTGAGTTTACTTACATCCTGACAAATTTTTCCACCTTATTCTTAAAGATGCCCATCAGTGGAGGCTGCATTACTTATCGTAGAATCAATCATAGAGTGGTTTGGGTTGGAAAGGGCCTTAAAGATCATCAAGTTCCAACCCCCCTGCCATGGACAGCAATACCCTCCACTAGACCTGGTTGCTCAAAGCCTCATCCAGCCTGGCCTTGAACATCTCCAGGGATGGGGCATCCACAGCTTCTCTGGGCAACCTGTTCCAGTGTCTCACTACCTTCGCAGTAAAAAATTTCTTACTAATATCTAATCTAAATCTACCCTCTTTCACCTTAAAACTGATACTCCTTGTCCTATCACTATACTCCCTGATAAAGAGTGCCTCCCCATCTCTCCTGCAGGCCCTCTTTAAGTACTGGAAGGCTGCTCTAAGGTCTCCCTGGAGCCTTCTCTTCTCCAGGCTGAATGACACCAACTCTCTCAGCTTTTCCTCATATGGGAGGTGTTCCAGGCCTCTGATCTTTTTTGTGGCACTCCTCTGGACCTGCTTCAACAGATCTATGTCTTTCCTGTGCCGAGGACTCCAGAGCTGGACGCAGTGCTCCGGGTGGGTTCTCATGATGAGTGGAGTAGAGCAGGAGAATCACTTCCCTTGACCTGCTGGTCATGCTTTGATGTAGCCCAGTGGGCTGCAAGCGCACAGTGCCGGGTCTTGTTAAATGTCTCATCCAAGCAATCTGCTCCAGTTTTTGCTAGCATCCTGTCTTTCTTGCTGCTTATTAAGCTTCTTATTTCGAGTCCTATGCACTATATGTATGAAGAACAGTTCCCTGCCACGTGTAGTGCATGAGCCTTGCTTTCTGTGCAGCCTCCATGTATTTTATTTTGAACTTGATGTGTGCTTCTTGAGTATCCTTTGGAGTTAAGATTATTATCCTCTGAACAAGTGAGGTTCTTGCATTATTTAACTCAGATATTCAACT